CAAGGCAACTTACCAACCAGACAAGGGTGTTTTACTGGTTAACAGTACCGTGAATAGCACTGAGGCAAAGGCCTAGAGCAGGCCATGGTCCATGGGCAGTGCCCACTCCAGGCGCCTGGCCCCGGCCACTTGTTGGGGCCACAGATGCAGTCACAGGGGCCAATGTGTTCTGACAGCCTCCAGTCCAGGTGCTGGAGTGTTCCACTCCCCAGCGCCTCTGCTGGCGAGACAATGCATTACCGCCCCTGCTTTACAGATGAGGAAATATGTTCAGAGATTTATCTGCGGTCACAGAGGGAATGGGGACACCCCCCCGGGGACATCTTGGGGGTCCAGACCCCTGAGGGACACTGTGACTCAACCCCATTTCTTGCAAGACTCCCATCCTGAAATAGGGCCCCGCCGAGCACCCGGACAGGTAGAATGTCCTGGAGCAAGAAGGGAGAGGACTTGGCCACAGGAACAGGAGAGAGGGTGCAGCGGGGATGGGGGAGGGGAACAGGCTAAGCCCGGCCAGGCCCACATAGGCAGCAACCGGACGGTCTGAGCATTTCATTGCCCACTCAGCCATGGCACACCCCAGCTCAAAGATCAGCTCTTCTGGTTCCCTTTAAACAATAGAAAGAAATCCAAACCTCCTGGCCTTCAAAGGCCTCACCCGAGCTGTCCAGCGCCTTCAGCCCACCTGCCCAGCACCCTCAGGGCTCACCCACACCCCCACCCTGCCCCCCTACCCCACTAGCTGAAACACCACCTTCTCTCCAAATCTCCCCGGTGCTTGGCCCTCCTCTTTGGCACTCCACCATCTCTTCCGGGTCACACGGTCTGAAATTTTTTATTTTCAAAATGTCAAACCCATGGAAAAACTGCCTGGGTTCCCCAACTGTCAGCATCTCCTGTGAGTGGCCACTGCATCCCTCCCTGGGAATACACACCAGTCTACACCTTTTGCCAACCGGCAGGCTGTAGATGCTGTGACAGCCCCCCCCCCCCCCCAACACCCGAGCACAGGGCTGCCCTCCTGGGGAACCTCACCTAGGAAAAACGACACGAACTCAGTAACTTCATCTGCAGCGTTCAGGTTCAAAAAACAACACAGGAAGTCATCCTCTAGATGACCAATTAAAGCTGTAACAGGGCTGACATGCCTTTTGGCCAGCGTTCCCAGCCCAACGGGCGCCTGCTGACTCTGTTTGAGGTGTATCCTGGCAGAACTGTTTTGTGCATCGTCAGGTACACACGAGCACAAAGCTGGTGGCGCTCTGCATACGTCTTCCTCTCTCATAAATAGAATTACACTGCATGCATAATGTTTTGCAACTGCCTTTGTACTCCCGGAACTTTTCCACATGTCATCCTGTGTCCCTCAGCATATCTTTGCCAGTCCCCCACGGAAGCTCACGTCCAGCTTGCTTTCCTTTTATTTGACCAGCCCTCGCCACATCGGCAGCGTGGCCGGCTCCCCAGGGAGCCCCCTTGCTGCCAGCAGCCACCCCCCCCATCCTGCAGGAGACCCTAAAACTCCCAGAGTGTTGACGTCTTGTGCCCTCGCCGCCACAGCCCCCATGCCGAGGACAGCGTCCAGCTCCGTAAACAGCACCAAAAGGCAACGTTTGAAGGATCCTCGTTCTGCACCGAGCTCTCCTCTGGGTGCTGCGCCTGCTGGTATTTCTGTAATCCTCCCACACCCTCTGAGGTAGGCAAGCATTACATTCACTTTACAGATGCACACGCCAAAGCCCAAAGAGGTCACCGAGGTGGTCAGTGTCACAAGGTAGTAAGTGAGGTTGGCTCTAGGGTCTGTGCATTTAACTACTGCCCCTTCGATGTGAAACCAGCTCAACTGAATTGAACCCACCCACCCCAGCAACCAGCTTCAGTGTTTGTCCTGTCGCTACTAGCCCCTGCCTTCTTGCCTCACCCCCAGACCCAGGCAAAGGGGCAGCCCACCGGGATACGTGTCTGCCTCCATCGCCTCCTCCAAGCTGTGTGACCAAAGCTGGCTACTCGCCGTCTCTGAGCCTCGGTTTTCTCACCGTGAGTGGGGCTGGCAGTGGGAGACCCTGTTGTGGAGGCTGACCTTGGGCAGCACCCCACCGCTCTGGGTGAACAGTCAGGAGCCTGATAAGAGGGCGTTCCCTCCCCCAGAGAGCCCTGTGGGGCCCAGCTGCCTGCCACCCAGTGACTGATGTTCAGCCGCTGCAGCCCGAAGCCAGAGCAAGTTTATGATGCTCTAGCTGGTTTTTAATCACAGCAAGATGAGAATTTGGCAGATTCAGACACCGATTCGTGCGACAAACATTGTCTGGTGTCTCATTTGTCTTTCTCTGGCTTCAGTGGTGATGCAGGGGGTGGGGCTTCCACTCTGGGGAGCACCCCCCTCGAAGTCCCTCAGGCCTCTTCCATCTGCCCATGCCTACCGAGCACCAGCTCCAGCCTTGAGGGAGAGGGACGCAGGGACTGGCCTGGAAGGGATCTCGGAAGCCCCTGCCAGGAGGCTCCCTCCGTCTGAGCGTCACTGCATGCCTGGCACAGCCCACCTTCTGCTGGGTTGACTGTCTGGCCCGCCCCCCGGGGGTGTCACCGCCTAAGAAGCTCTGTATCTGCGATGGCAGATGCTCAGAGGTGTCCAGATCTCCTCCACTCAAGCGTCGCCTCCTCAGGGAAGTCCTCCCTGACCACCGTAGACAGACTGTTCCCTTCATGGCTCTCAGGGCCGGGGCAGAGTTTTCCCCACTCTGTCTGTCAGTTGTCTGTCTGACCACTGACAGTGGTCACCATCACCTGCATGGCACTTGACCCATGCTGGGGACCCTGATAGGACATTTACGGGTGTAAACAGTCCCGACAGCCTCACTTTTCGGACGGGACACAGAGAAATTCAGGAGTTGCCCCAGGCCACACAGCTCAGAAAGAGCCAGACCAGCTGGTAACGTGTGGGCATTCCTGGTCTGTGCCGCACTCCTCGGGGGGCGAGGACCCTGGCGGGCACTCCATCGGCATTTGTGAACTGTTGCCCTGGCAAATGCTGGTCCACGTGCTGGGGGCCTGGGAGGAAGCTGTCAACTCTGTGCATCATGGACACAAGAAAGAGACGGGGGGAGTGGGGGGGTGGACAGCAGAAGAGGGATGGCATGTCAGCTTTGCCACAGAGGCTGAGTAAGAGTCCATCTGGCAGATGGGCGGAAGGAAGGGCAGCCCAGGCGGGGGAACAACATTTGCAAAGCACGGCAAGTGCAGGAAGCCTCGATGAGAGTGGAGGGCCACCCATGTGCAAAGCATAAAGGTTGGGGAACATGGCAAAAACAAAATCACTCAGTGTACTAGACAGCTCAGGCTGATATGACAAACCACCACAAGCTGGGGGCGTAAGCAACACACATTTATTTCTCACAGTTCTGGAGGCTTGGGAGTCCAAGGTGAGGGGGGTCGGTGAGTTCAGTTTCCGGTGAGTTCTCTTTCTGGCTTGCACGTAGCCGCTTCTTGCCGTGCCCTCACGTGCCTGAGAGAGGAGCGGGGTCGTCGGTCTCTCTTTCTCTTCTTGTAAGGACTCTAATCCCATGGGGGCTCCACCCACATGGCTTCATCTAAGCCTGTTTACCTCCAAATACCATCATATTGGGGTTAGGGTTTCAACATATGAATTGTGAGGGACACAAACATCCAGTCCATAACCGCAGCTGTATTAAGCAGAAAGAGTTGTAATACAGGGGGTCAGGAGCCTGCGACATCACCAGAAAGTCTGGAGGTACAGGCCCTCAGGAACCAGCCCAGAGCAGCACTGCAGAACTGGCCCGGATCAGCCTCTGCCACAGTCACGAAGGTGGGGGGTCAAGAGGCTGGCGCTGGGCCCCCAGATGCTGCTGGAGGCAAAGCCAGACCCTCCTCCCAGACACAGGAGATGAGGCATAAGAGCAGGGAAGGGCCTGGGCTGGGGAAGCGGGGCGGGCAGCGGGGCATATTGACCCATGACTATGCGAGGTCCCTGAAAAGCCCAGGGAAGGACATCCCAAGCCCTCGCTGCAGGGAATGAGCTCTCCAGCCTCTGCAAGGCAGGCAGGAAGTTGGTGTGGATGCTCTCCCTCTCCAGCACATCTCCCTGGGTGGTGGGGGCCCCAGATTGCTGTTTCCTTACGTGCTTCCTGGGCTCTCCGGTCCCCTCTGACACTTCTCTGCTTAGGGACGACAGCTGAGCAGGTAATCCCCCCAGCCATCCTGATTGTTCACCGCAGGGCCTGCTGGCTGTTCCCTGGGTAAGTGCTTTAAGACGAGGCATTTGCATCTCCCTTTCACCGGTGCCCTGCCCCACCCAGTGTAAATCTCCAAACCCACTGGTGTAGAAGCAGAGCATAAATCTGTCAGACCTCTGCAGCTGCGGCGGTGACTGTGGCTCTGCATGTCCCAGACGCTCGGCAGTCCAGGAAGTGCCTATGGCTGGGCTATCAGGCGGCTTTTCGGGTTCAAGAGACAGGAAGGGCTTTGGCCAAAATCATCCCAAGAGGATTAGATGTGGGGTGAGGGTCAGGGCGGCCTAGCGCAAGCGGGAGCCAGGCCAGCACGATGGGGGCTCAGGAGAGGAAATGGCAAACAGGCATGTTGCCTCTGTTGGAATAACTCAGCCACAGGTGTAGGCGTTTTCCAGGTGACAAAATATTCCAAACCTCGGGAAAATAAAAAGAGCCTAGGGGCACCTCTGTGGCTCAGTCAGTTAAGTGTCCGACTCTTGATTTCGGCTCAGGTCATGATTTCGTGGTTCGTGAGATCGAGCCCCACATCGGGCTCTGTGCTGCCAGCACGGAGCCTGCTTGGGATTCCCTCTCTCCCTCTCTCGCTGCCCCTCCCCAGCTCACACACACACACACACACACACACACACTCTCTCTCTCTCTCTCTCTCTCTCTCTCTTTCTCTCTCTCTCTCAAAAATAAATAACCATTAAAAAAAAAAAAAACTAAAAGACAAGAGCTTATACTTACATGGCACTGCCCGTGTGCCCAGAATCATTCTAAGACACTGAATGAACCCACCCACCATCCAGATTAGCTGGCATTTATTTTATTTTATTTAAAAAAATTTTTTTAATGTTTATTTTTGAGAGAGAGAGACAGAGACAGAGACAGAGACAGAGCATGAGTGGGAGAGGGGAAGAGAGAGAGGGAGACACAGAATCTGAAACAGGCTCCAGGCTCTGAGCTGTCAGCGCAGAGTGTGACGTGGGGCTTGAACCCACGAACCGCGAAATCATGACCTGAGCTGAAGTCTCACACTCAACCAACTGAGCCACCCAGGCGCCCCAGAATAGCTGGCATTTATGTTGTGCCATAAAAGGGGGGCAGGGAGAGGAAGCTAGTACTCTGGGGCTGCCCCGGCCCCTGCCAGGGTGGACGGTCCCTCACACATGTATGTGCATTGGCCACAGAGTCCCCATGCATTGGAGGACCGTGGTAGACTGTGTCTGTACCCTACGCCCCTGCAACCCACGCCCTGGACATGCCCTTCCACAGTTGCTGTCTAGAGGTCTATATCCATGATCAGAGAGCCCCAGGGGGACATGTTGGCCCTGTGACCCCTGAACTTGGAGGAGGCCACACCCTCCCGACCTGCGTCCTGTCCATTGTCACTCACATTGACCTTCAAGACATTTCCCGACTCGGGGGCTATCACGTGCCGGCTCCTCTGCCTCAACCCCAGCAGAGGGGCTGTGTGGTCCAGAAGTTACCGTTTCATTTGTGGGCTTTGCACGAATTCTACCAGACGGCACTTACCTATTTAGCACCGTGCCCTGTGTGGATCCCTGTGGTGTTTTCAAGCTTTGGCCTCGCTAAGAACGCCTGGAGAGCCTACACGCACATGCAGAGGTGTGTCCCATGGCTTCTCGACCTTGCAGCCATTCGGCTCAGGATTCTAAACTCAGAGGGCTATGTGTCCACCCTGAGCTGGTAAGGGAGGCTCCCACCAAAGGCTGAGTCAGCAGAGGAGTGAGGACATTCCCTCAGAAGGGGAGTGTTTGCAGGAGGGGAGATGGCTGTGCGTGGCTGCCTGGTAACACAGGGAACACGCTCATCGCAGCCTGGGGGCTGCAGACCGGAGGGCGGTGTGGGCATTTGTAACGAAGGGGCCCCCGAAGTGTCCACAATTCTGACCCATAATTCTGCCTCTTGCAATGCTCCTGAAGGATCTCCTCATAGACGGAAACGAGGAAACGGCTGACAACATAGCTCTCGCACCCCCAAGTGTCAGCAAGAACACGGCTCTCTGAAAATAGGGGTTTCCGTTCATGATTTACATCCCAGCCACACACTGGTGTTGAAGGGAGTGATTAAAAAGGAGAACGCCTGGGTGGCTCAGTCGGTTGAGCATTGACTCTTGGTTCTGTGTCAGGTCGTGATCCCAGCATCGCAAGATCGAAGCCCCACATTGGGGCTCCACGCTAAATGTGGAGCCTGCTTAAGAGTCTCTCCGTCTCTTCCTCTGCCCCTCCCTGGCTCCTGCTGTCTCTCTCTCTCTCTCTCTCTCTCTCTCTCTGTCTCTCTCTGTCTCTCTCTCAAAAAACAAAAGTAGAGTTTTTAAAACATGAGGCAGAAGGATGCTCATGAAACAGTGGTCACGAAAAAGCTAACACAAAAATGCCTTGAAAAAACGACCAGTAGAAAATTCACAAAAAGGCAGAGTGGTTCATTCCAGGTGGTGAGATTATGGGTGACTTTCGTTTCGTTTGTACCGTGCTGTGATTTTCTAGGTTTTTAGAATTTAAAGGCTGTAAGGTATCAGTGGCAGCACAAGGGGCTGGTCCCCTGAGCTCACTGGGTGAAGGACCCGGGAGCTTGGCTGCAGGCTGTGACAGGCCAGGCTGGCACAGAGCGTGGGGAGGTACGGGTCCCTCGCGTGTCTTGCTGAGCCACATTCTGAGGCCAGCTGGCAGCGAGCCAAGGGCTCCATCATCTCGTCCGTGGCCACGGGGACTTACCTGGAGTGAGACCCAGCGGCTCAAAGTTCTGGGAGATCAAGCAGTCAGAGGCAGAGTCCTAGACCTTGAGTGGAGATCCTGGCAAAACCATACTGTTAAGAAAGCACTGACCACCCTGAGGCCATATTTGGGGTTCCCTCTTGATGTTGGGCAATGCTTCCTCTTGGAACGTGAGTAATGGAACCCGCTTTGGTCCTAATCCTGTGATACCTGTCACCTACCCGCTGTGTGTGGCCTTTGGTGAGGCACTTGACCTCTCGGAGCCTGTTTAGTTCCTTCGTGCATAAAATGGAGACAGTAAGTCTCACCTGAACTGATTCCTGGGAAGATTAAACAAGTAGGAAGCATCTAACTGCCCGCTGCCTTTACTTATCTGAATGATTCCTAGAGGGCCTGGACTTTGCCGTTAGAGTGGGAAATGGTGTTGCTTTTCTCTAACCACTGCCCTGATCAGCCCTGGCTCATCTTTCTTCTGGCTCCTGGATGACCTCTGGGGTCACACGGAGGCCCCGAGGCCTCTGTTCCCTGGTGGTCACCTGAGCCAAGCCACACCTTCTTCACATCGAAAATGGCAAAAGCGGCGAGGAGTGGCCAGGGATCTGCCAGCTTTGTGGCATCTCACACGTTCACTGTTGCTTTGGGCTGGCATTTCATTAAGATGTAAGCCTTCCCATAAAACCACCCAACTCTTCGACTATTTTCATCATGTCTGCTAACTCCGCACGGCTGGTTAGCTTTAATGGGCCACGGGGCTGGCATTGGACATCGCTTCTCAAGCAGATCTGAGATGATGTATTTGGGAGAAGTGGATGCCCACGTAGGATTGTGAGGGTGTGAACTCCAAGGCCTCGAACTTCCATAATGGCTGTTCCCCCCACCCCCAGACGTCGGTTCAGTCACTGGTTTTATGAATGTGTTTGGAGTGCGTACTCGGGGCCCAGCCACGCTCCACGGGAGTGAGAAGGGGACGTCATCTGATGCAGATGAATCGGGGGCCCATGGGCCGTAGCCCCCTGTAGGAGGCACCAGGCAGTGCAGATCCGTGGATTCTCCCCCAACACCCACTCACGTGCTCACAGCGGGTTAGCCCGCTGTGCCACAGGGAAGCAGCGTTGCCCCAGGGTTAAGGGCATGGCGTGGTGAAGGCTGAATTCCCTGCCCAACTCCTGCTGCTGTGTGACTTTGGGCACATTACTTGGCCTCATTCACCGGCACAATTTCGTGGAGCTGTGCTCAGGATTAAATGCGTAAACAGCTCAGAACCATACTTGCCATACAGCAAGCGCTAAAGAAAAAATGGAGGCTGATTACCCCACGCCAGATGCTGGGTTCCAAAATAAGAAGGGTCCTGTGCCCCGGGAGGTGGCATGGGGGTGGGGAGCTGGGGAGGCAGAAACACGATGCAGAGTCACAGTGGAGGTAGGGTAGTGGGGGGAGG